AAATGGATATTGTTAGATATTTATCATAGCCGATAGACCTAACTGAAGACACCAACATTGCGAATCAAAAGAAATGTACGAAACTTGGAGGCATTGAAATGAGAATGAAGATAAGGAAAAAGACTAAAATTTCAATCTTGCAAACAGTCTGGTTAAAACATCTTATAGTTTACTTCAAGTAAGTTGAGAGCAGTAAAAGACTCCTACTTTATACTTTAAAACAATGTATCTGGATGTTACTGAGGAACTAAGAGTAATATAGTAACTTTAAAGTATATATAGAATAATGTTATTTATCAAAATTATAAACGACCATCACGTTATTATCATTAACGATACGAAATTTTAAAAGAGTTACAGATAATAAAAACTAGTCATAATATCTCAACTTTAAGGAATCGACTCAAGGATAAGATAAGGCAAAAGGCCTTATCTATTCCCGAGGGTGCGTCGAGAGTTGGGTACAGTTTACGAATGGTCCTTGTAAAAAATCATTACAAAAAAACGAACTTTCGAGTCATTTACAACGCAGCAGGTAGTGAGTTACAGTCCTGAGTTTCTTTGTTATTGAACGAAAGAATAATATTTCACTAGCAATTGGCAGTAAATAGGACTTTCATAACAATAGAGGCGGTCGGTTCGTCCGTCCGAGCGGTGCCTCGGCTATTTTAACTCGCAACACGTGTCCCTCCCAAATGTTTGTTTAGGCTAAGTCGTAAAGCGTCAATGACAGGATGCGGTGTAAACAGACAAGGTTATTTTCAATATTTCTATATTTTTGCCAATTATCAGAAATAATTTTCTCGAGAAAATATAAATTTCAAGTGCATTTCATCCGTCAGACTTACAACCCAGGGCATAAAGCCAGCGAAATTTCAATAGGCAGTCTTCAACTACGGAGCAGTTTTTCCTTTAGTCTTTATTTTACAGGTAAAACTCTAAGGAGTGTTCAAATTAATTTCGTAAATTATTTCTTGCATCTTTACCTTACTTACTATCGGATGATTTAAACATACGGCTTCAATTCAAATCAATGCTTTATAAATTTACATCCAATTGAAAGATTTTAATTTGAGCTTTCGTTTATTGTACAGCAATCGATTGCAACAAGTGTGTAGCCTCAGATTTTTGTCTAAAAACACGATTAATATTAGTTTAGCCCTTTACCTTTTACGTGTCATTTAGCTACTTTAATTTGGTTCGTCAAGGATTTCAATTGGGAACAACAAACAATATTATAAATCACAACATAATCGATTTTGATTCGATACAAAAGCGCTCCGAAGTTATTTCGAGTGCGGCACGCAAACACATTATTTATTCTCAGTTGAAAATAACTCGACCGAATTGAAAATAGTACACGATCGTTGAAAATAACTTTTTTATTTCATATTTTATCATTAACGTGAAATATTGTTTGTTTCTGCTATAAAATACCGCGTTAATTTATTTTTGCAGAGGAATATACTTATCATGAGATGTCAAAAACGCCACACACACAAAATCAACATTTTGAATCAGTTTAGCAAGAATTTTATAAATTATGTGCATAAAATCAGATGAAAAAATAAAAGCTTGTAATGAGTAATCAGACGAAAAACTACGAAAGATTAGTCAACATTACTACTCGTGTCTTGACTAGTTCGCAACAAAAACTTGGTGAATCACCACGACCTTTATTTCCGCATTTTGTTGGCGCCATCATACCTAGCAATTAAAATAAATTACGCCCATACGACTGGATATCTAAACAGTCGGAGTTTGAAAACAGTAATTTGTCAAATTAAATTATCATTTGATCTCTGCTATAGAATTACGTTCCTAGCATGTTGCAACCCAAAGTATTCATTTCAACCCTACAAATCAAAGCAAATACATATTAAAATACTAGCCAGTACATCAAAAGATAAACAAGCTGGGATGACGATCTTACCTGATCTTAAATGACAAAGTTGTCGAAAGATGATACTCCCTAGATTAGTAAATTTACTTTAATTACCGATTAGGTACATTTTGAAGCTGTACATAAAATAATTTTCTCTACAAGTGACCATAGCATCTTTCTCTTTGTCGGTCCATTACGCTTCCAAAACAGTCGTTGAGTGCACGAGCGCATTTTGTCTTGTGCGTTTATTTACGCGATGCCCGCGGTGTTGGCCGACTTCCAGGACCAAACGGAAATAGATGCTTCTGTAGATGTCATTGTACTACAAGCAGGAGAGCCCTAACGCTGACGCACAGGACTATGGTACAATGTGGAGATATTCAAAAACACATCATATTTATCATACTGTTAATTAATGAGTTAGTTCCAATTGCATTCAGTTTCACTTTAAAAGTGAATAGGAAAAAAATATTTTGACTTTGATTTTTAAGCTACCATAGCATTTTGTTTTGACCCTATGTTAATTGTTTATATTTGATAATTTTAACGCCTTAGAGTAACATTATATAAAACTTGTTAATATAACTTTAACATTTAAAACTAATTATTATTGATTAAAAGTAAGCATTGATGAAAATGGTAATACAAAAAAAATAATAATAAGTGAAACCGTACACAATTTTTGTTGTAATATTGATTTCAAATTTACGGCGCTAATGGCACCTTCCACGATTTTATTATTAGCTCGCTAAGGCGTTTAGAGATCCGTCCGAATCGTAAATAGAATCTATTTAAGCGTCTAAGCCACGACGACGGACAAAAGATGATTTTAGTTTAAAACGAAGACGCTCCATGAAGAGTAGAAAAAGATGGTTATCGACCAACAAAAAGTGGGACGATTCGTTCGCCCAACCCTTTTATTTTGCTCCGTCGTGATGCTTTTTTACTTTTATTCTAAAAATATCGCATTCACGAACCCATTTCGAAAGGAAACGTGATTCTGTCCAAGGTCGAGTGAATTAGTATTCGTATGGTGTTCTCGCAGTTTGACCGGACGTCTAAAACTCGTTAATATGCTTGCTTGTCGATTTTTTTTATTCTTCTAACAATGATTAGAATTGCCCGCGGCAGACCTGTCTTCTTTAATATGTTTCACGGGTTATGTAATTTGAAGGTCTTGGGAATTATTCCTAAACTATGTGATGGAACTCTTATTTTGGGTATTTTCGATGTTTGATGTTTGGTATTCAAAACGAAATGATCCAATATGCTTTCATTGTTATTAGGGTTAAAATGTGGTCGAGTCTCGGGTTGTGTCCCACTTTAAAATTGTTTAAAAGTTTAAATTGAAATCAAAATTCGATTGCGTGGTTCCGTCCCTTATTTGATAAATATTAAGACATTATAGACCTAGTAAAGTGAAAGAAAATCTTAATATACGGTTTTTATTGCTTATGATTGTAGTTTTAAAAGTGACGAATTGGTTTTGAGATTATTCCCAAAATTAATATGAACTACGAGATGGTATTATTTGTTGATTAAAATTGTGCATTGTCTATCTATCTATACATATTAATGTAACTGGAGTGTCTGTTTGTAAAATCGAAAAAAAATAGTATTTGGTACACATGATGTATTTGCTTTACTGATTTAAAAATGTTCGTTTGTCTCTTCGTCTGTCTGTCTGCAAGGCGGCGGTTGTTCCGGGCAATGTCAAAACGGTAGTTCCGACTTTGACAGGATTTTTAGTGGATTGCCGCTTATAGTAGAGACTTTTTCTAAATATTAAACGAAAATAACATTTTTTGTTTGACAATTTTTTCACTGTTAAAAAAAAATAACAAAACAGAAAGATCAAACATGTAATTATAGAAAAAAAAAATAGTCTCAGGCAAAATCATGGTGTACCTACAGTAATTTTTCTCGGGAGTTAAGAGTAAACCTTGAAATGCCTTCACATTTTATATTTTCAAGTTTTGTTGAAGGAAAATATTTTATCATGAAAGCTATTTCTCCACTAATTGAATTAATACGGTTGAAGAAATTCTTTTTTGATAAAGGAATGCTAACGAGAAAATTTATGTTACGTTACTACGGCAATTATTATGCTAACATAGGTAATCTGACTTCTTAAACATAGGCTTTAAGTTTTTTTTTATGTAATTTCTCGCGGGCGATATCTAGTTACTTCTAAAGCTTGTATTGTGATAAGTTTGCTTGCCGATATGGTAAATATCGTTGACTTTAACATATTTTAAACAAATTACATTGAATTAAAGGTGAAATGTATAAGTTTATGAGACAACTTAATTAACAATGGCCGCATTAATTCGTTTCTTTTTGTAAACTTGTCTTCCAAGATGGTAAACGTTCTTTTCGACAGACGCCTAAGGTTTTTGAATAGTTTCTAAATTACATGAAAATAAAAATCATTGCTATTTTAAATTAGGATATTTATTAAAAGAACCTCCGTCTGGAAAATCACTTATGAAATATTTAGGTTTACAAGTTTGCAATATCCATCTACATAAATTAAGACATTCAGATTTGAAAGAACTGTAGGGGAAGCGTCCCTTTTTCTCAGACTACCAACCGCAGATTCCCCTCACGGGTCTAATTAATGCGAGTATCAGACGCCCTTTTATAGCATTATGTTCCGATATACTTGTATGATTCGAGGTTATTCACCCAGACACGAATTCATGCTACTATATTAAACATAGTCAATCTTTCCGATAAAAACTTTTTCTTGTATTGGCAAATTTTACTAATAGTTGACTGACTTGCAGATATTACAGTAAAAGCATCATTCTATAATTCTAATATTTGTTTTGTAAAACACTTGAGTAAATGAAATCATTGGAAATCTTCATTTTAAGTGGTTGTTCTATCAAATGTTCTTAGGCTTAAGCCTATAAAAGCTTAATTACATCCTATGAAAGCTAAAGCCATTGTTTTGAATCCATCAATTAATGCTATGAGGGACTAAAAAAGTAAGTAATTGTAGAAATCTTGTGCAAAATGAAAATCAAATGTAATTTCGATTGTATCGAGTGTTTTCTCTGTGTGTAACGTACTTCTTATTGCAATGTCTTGTAAAAATAATTTGTTTTAGCCGGCTTATTTATAACCTTAAAGCTGGAATTAAAGAAGATGCGACATAAGACAGAGGGGGAGCGCCGCTCGATGTTGTGACGCATGCGCGGCTTCGACCCTACGGAGCCGGCTAGAGGAGCCGGCGCTGCACAAAGCGAGTACCCGCCGCCGCCGGCACGCACTGACCCGGCCCAACATATATGTACCGCGACTACTGGACACGTTTGCAACGCACTTTCATCTCCTGCTATTAAAACGAGCATGTGATAAAACTGAACGCTGAAACGTAGCGTATCGTAGTGTTTCTTTAGTAGCCAACTCAAAGTTATCATGTACAAGACGGTGAGACACGGTGAGAACAGTCTGCAGTACACTATTCTGCCGCAGACGGAAGAAGTGTTGAGCAACAGCGGTCTCAAGGGCAAGGGACGCGACTACAGCCCCTCCATTAAAGTCCGCCGCACCCAGAAGGGGTATAATTTGAGATGTGTTTTAACGGTAGTTTTTGTAATTGTTGGCACGCTCTCTATATCATATCTTCCGGTGTACTTTATGCATGTGGCTCGGGAGAACCGTAAAAACGAAATTTGCTCTACTGCTTGCAGGGAAATTAAAACAAGGAAGAAGGAACTCAAGTTTATGCCCGAATTCATTACAACCACAAATGACAAACTTGAGACAACCACGCAATCTTTAGTAACATCTCCAAATATCCTTACAACCGTTATCCGTGAAAGGGCGACGACTCCGCCGTGGACGATGCCCGCTTTGAGGTCTTGGAAGGGCTTAACACCCGCGACGACGCTGCGGCCCGCACCGACTGAAAATATAGAGAAAATTCCCCTAATCGGCACTCCATCTGGCAGCGTCCGCTTATTAGATAACTATATGTCTGTGAAACCCTGGGAGAAGGACATCATAATAAGACCCACAGTTACCCCGGAACCGATGACCGTTCGAAGTATATTTAAGTATTATTCCCAATTCGGTGCTACTTCGGATAAACCTATTACTAGTAATATGAAAGGGGATGATGTGTTAATCACAACCAGGGCAACATCCACGCCATCACCAATAACAACGGAGTCAACAACGACATTGCCAATACTTGAAGACGAGCAATCTTTGGAAATCGACGACGTGTTCTCGCTATCTACATTGAAGGGAGATCCGGGAATATCCGGCCCGATCGTGGACTCTGGTGAAGTGACAGTATCTAAGGCGACAGGTGGCTGGTATGGAGCTCGATGGCCATTCGTCGATCCTTCATCTTATTTCCAATGGACGGTAAGCGTACTTATGTTATGTTATTTTCGCTGCGTTGCGTGCTTGTTGTGCTCATAACGACTAATGTATAATCGATTTATTACATACCTATGATTAATGAGTGTTTAATAAGTCTTTTTTTACACTTAAACATGATTAATTTACTATAATGTTTGTACCAATCGTGTTGTCATTATGTAACAAGTTTGCACTGAGCTGTGACAAATCGCAACGATTCTCTGTCTTATTGCGATCACATCCTGTCGTTAAAGATAAATTCTAATATATTAAATCCGGTTACTTTTGAATCATTGCAATCGTGAGATTCTCTTCTATAGTATACTCATTGAAAAAGAAAAATCGTATTGGAAATATTGAATCAATATAATTTGAGTCATGTTTGTATTTTTCGTTTATTTTTAAATAATATCATATGTTTAGCTTTAAGTTTGCAATAGTAATATTATTTTGTTAGGAATACTAATTTGAATGTATATTTTTATTTATTAAACTACGAACTACGATGTAGAAAATCAAAAAACACTAATATAATCTACTTTACAATTTTGACCCTCTTAGATAACGAACGCTGAATGAAAACTTCTACATGTCAAAATAGAATTAAACTTGTTTTATATTCAAGTGTAAATACTAAGTTAAATGTTATTTAGAGTATATGTCACAGTTTACTTGTGTAACGAACATTAACTATGGAAAAACAAAACACGGAATGCAGGTATTTCTAAATAGTATATGTTGTTTACATACTTCATTAATACAAGAAATGAATGCCACATCTGGGTGGTATTATTGTTCGTTGTTTTTAGACAGAGAATATTATTATATTAAATTGTTTAAACAAGTAATTAAGCAACTTTAAACTTACTCTTGTGTTAGTAGTAGATTTTTCTATATAATTATCTAACCAATAACAATTAATTTTTCTATTCAAAATAATAGATGTATATTTTCATGATTATTTGTTTTATCGACTCACAAAAACCTCATAATACGTTCAATTAACTTATTCCATCCATTAACATATATGAGTGTGTTACTTTTATTATAAATTTAAATTTATTCCTATTGTTAAGTATAAGTAGAGATTTATATTTTTTATCATATGTAAAGACAGTATCACATTTACACCAAGATTTATCTATTATTTTTTTTTTAGAAAACGATATGGAAAGCGATGTGTTTTTGCATATGTCTTAGTGGGAATCCAGTATTAATATATTTATTTGTTCCAGGGTTACTCGGTGGCGGACAATATGTTACTGCCGCTGCTTATGACTGCTATGTTCTCCATTATCCTCGTGCTGGTACTGGCGCTGACACTACGTCGTCGCAAGAGAACATCCACGGCTTCTGAACAGATTGGGGTAAGGCTCCTTTATAAGGTATTGTAGATTAGACATGTATCAGTCAATTATTAAATTTAGTTTGATGTTAAATATGATCTATATTATCTTACTAATATAACGAATACGAATGTTTAGAAGGATGGATGGATGGATGTTTGTTTGTTTGTTTGAAAGTATCTCCATAACATTTGAACGGATCAAATTTGGCATACATATAGTGTGGAAGAACACATGTTCTAGTAATTATGTTTTTTTTTTTTCATTTCCGCGCGGACGTAGTCGTGGGTGAAAGCGATAGCGATATAAAAGTGAACGATTATTTCAACATTATAGGCACATATTTTTGAATTGTTTAAGATAATTTGGTTAAAATTAGGGCAAAGCTGCCGACCGGTTAAATTTTATCGATACCGCTTCTCAGTAGGGGCTTAATCATAACGTTACGTCGGTGTCGAATGTTATCTACAACAACATTCCCAAAAACTCGAATTCACGGAGAAACAGAACTCGTTTAAATGCTCCAGTTTGAAATATATTTATGTGTAGCTAATTCTGTTACTTTAGTACAGAAGTTTTAGATATCTCGAATGCTACGTCAACAAAACTTTTATGTTTCTATGCCGTGTTAAGAATCGTAGTTACAATTGGATTTCCTTAAGACCATCCCTTTGTTTCAGAAGTTAACTGCCGATCTTCAAGATGATGTTACTAACCTTCTGCAGGCTGAAAATCCTGAAGATCCCGAGGAATGAACTACACAAACCAGATCGCTTGTTCATGTAGCTTCTTTAAGAGTACAAGTAACAGTATGCCTTATGTACAATTGAAATAAAGCTTATAATCCCAATGTCCTTAGTTGTACATTAGGCATCAGAGCACAGTATAATCATTTATTAGCTAAATATGTAGTTTTGAGATGACAAAAGACAGGCATATCCGAGTATACTCTTTTACGTATCGGTTTGAATCTTTCAATGCCTGTTATTTGTAAATATACGGTTTGTAGGACCTGCGTCGCACAGGTCAATGGATATGGTTTGCATATTCAGAGATACGATATAATATTGTGTAGGTAAGTCTATTTTGTAATCGCATTACATATTGGAATGTAATTTAGATATGTATTATTGTGTCAAATGCCAAAGTTGCTAAAATTATTTTTGTTACAAATTATAATCTACATTCATAATTTTTAAATGACATTTGGCTGACACTGCTGGGTAGATGTAGAATTAAATTAAATTTTCGATATACCGACATATAAGCGATATTAGAACGTTATCATGAGCTTGCTAGACAGTTTTTATCATCGCTGAATTTATTTTAAATACATAAATACCTATGAGACATAAATATTGACGTATTACGTATATCATATCTCTGAAAACTCAAATATACGACTCGACAGTATTAACTAAAACCCTGTGGTATATATGTAATTCTACATAGTCGTACATATATGTGTAGTTACGATAGGCTAAGTTCAAATTTATTATCGATCTTGATGTAACACGTTTTTATGTCGCATTCTATTTGTCCATTTCTTATTCGTGTATCTATGGCACGTTTTATATGCTGCGACAGATTCCAAGATGGCGTCATAAAGCGAGGGAAAGCACAGCCCCTTGAAACAAAAGGTCTTCGTAGCAATCACGCGATTGCTTCTTACCGCAAGCGATTTACTAGTTTCCTACATTGACAATAGGTTTGCATTTGAAGTTTTCTCGAATGTTCATCGCATAATGTTCCTTAAATTTTCAATCTAAAGAGATGCAGTTTGCTTCATCTGTATTTATTCTTTCCATATTATAGAAATAAGACTGATATGTTGCATTTTACTATACTCGATTTACTAAGTTGTGTTTATTAAAAGGAGTGGTATTACAAACTGAATGTGAGAAAATTTGTGGGAGGAGCATCAGGTAAATGTGATAAATGTATTAGATGATTGAAAAATATTTTCCATATATCTTCATATCAGAATTTGCAGTTTAAAGGTTTACTATAAAAAGGTAAGGTCTATCAAAGATATTTCTGGAACAAAATAAAATTTGAAGGATTTCGAAATTGTTCGTGTGCTTCCGAAGATAAGAAAATGAACCATGTTTTGTTGAAAGTGTTCACTTCAGGTACCTAAAAAAATGTTTTGTTTCACTTCATCAATTGAGATAATATTGTTTCTATACATGTTTTAGCAGTGAAAACTCAAGTATCAAAAGTGTACTAACATAACCGAATCGCACGTATTGATAAGATTTAGGTACCGTACCGGATTAGCTTGTGACGAGTTTCATGTTAAGGCAGAGTGGTTATTTTTTACGCTGGACATCCATCATGTATATAAGCAAATAAATAAATTATGTTTTTCCCACCGAGAATTATTTTATTCAGCCTTTTTTTTTTATTTTGGTTACTTTTAATCGAACGATTCATTCGCACGATAATTCGATTCGAAAAACAAATAGTAAATAAAACGGAACTTATTTCAAATAGACAAAATTTATTATACAAAAAATATACTACAAACCTAATTGACTTACATTAGGAATTACAACTAGATATTGCAACCAAATATTTCGTACCAGACTATTAAATCGTATCTAATTTAAATAAACTTCACATCACTATTATCAAATGTTTCTTACATAAGGTCGCCATTTACGGCATTATCTTTTCAAGTCTATTTCAGTAAAACTGTAAGTGCTTATTCGTATTCAAGTTTCGGCTGAGGGAGCGGTCGATGAAAATTCAAACATACAATGATGTATGAGAGTGTTCACATTAAAACGGCGAGCGTAAGCGCGGGTTCGAATAAATCGCAAGCTCAGTCTCTAGTTGTAAGCGCGTTTTTGGACAACACATATGTTATATGGGAGTGTTAACATCAAACTAATGGCGGAGATATTTTGATATTTGAACTGGTCGCGCAAACGCCTGGCGGCCAATGTGGGCATGCGACCGCGACTTCAATATGTACAAGCACTAACCATGGGTTATCACTGGCGACACACTTGTATAAAAAGAAAAACTCTAGTTTACAAGTGTTGAACAGTGAAAACCAACATTTACAACACAATTGTCGATCTTTTCTATTAATTAATACTTTCAATAAATATTCATAAATCAACAAATTCATTATAAATTACAAATAGGCACTGGATTTGCGTTTTGATATTGAATTAATCTTCATTAATATTGTATAAAGCCTTTGTATATTATATGAAATTCAACAACATATATAAAAGGCTTATTAAATTGTAGATTTTCATACTTTGTACCTAGTTTATCGTGTTTATCAATATCGTATAATGCGCGCCTCATTAGTAGCTTTTTCCACTAGCCGAGCGTGACTGGTAAGGGCAAGTTATATAGAAATAAATGCTCTATCACAGCCACATTGCGAATGCTATACAATAAGACGGCCATCGTCGCACGACTATCTACTAAGTGGAAATATGACTTAGGACCAAGATAACTGACTCTTTTAAAATTTAAAAGATAACTTATTTTAAAGTTTATTATATTTAATGGACTAATTAAACATTGGTCGTATAAGGATACCAACATAATAATAAAAAATGTCTGGCAGCTATCTGCCCAATACTATGTCCAAATTTGCTGCAGTAAAGTTCATAAGTTCCAAAGGTCCATTTATTCAATAATGGTCCTAGTGATGTGACGTGCATTATACCGTATTGAAGTTACCTTGACAATTGACCAAGTTTAAAAATTCCGTTTATAAAACATGCACTTATGTGCACGTAACAATAACTAACAATTATTGTCTATCTGCTAAAAAATTGATATAAAATTTAAAAGCTGAGAGTTAGTTTTTTGATAGCAAAAGATATACTTCAGAAAGAGATGGCTATATGTTGTTGGTTTCGTCTGTTTAATGCTTCGTTAGGTTCTTATTTGCGTGTTTAAATTTAACATTTTCCTAACTAAATAACAAAATAGGTTTATATAATAAATATATTTAGACAGTGAAAGTATAAGAAAATGGAAGTTTTAGTATTTGCAAAATTAAATTTATATTCTATTAATTTTCAAAAATAACCTATTATTTATAACTTATAAAATAATTCATTAATAATCTTACATAGCGCTGACCACAACCAAATTAAATAAAAGAAAGTAAAACAAAGTAATTTCTCACTTTACATAATCACATAAGAAATCTCATTCAATCATTCTGAAATTCTAATACAGTACAAAATTATTTACAAATGTCGACTTTAATTCTGAAATAATCTTAGTCTCTGAAGGTATTATAAATGCAGACTTTGAGGGTGAAAGGGATAAAGATATACAAAAGCAATAGAAAAGAAAGAGAAAGGAAGTCTAACAATTCCACACCTATTGGCTAACTTCAGAGACTATAAAACCCTTGGCAAGTATTTTATCATTTTAACGATTGTCCAAACAGTTTGTTTATTGTGTCGCAGAATTCAGTAACATTTTAAAACAAATCACACTTTACAATTGTTTCTAATAAAATTTATTTAATAAATTTTACGTAATATCCACAGTAAACTTTCCGAACACACAAGCAACAAAGTGCTTTAACATATATACATATAAGGTCCAAATTGTATAACTTTCGACGATTTCAGTCGTCATTGCAACTTGCGTGTGATGTTACGACCAGTATTCACATACACCAAGGTTCGATGTTACTGCGGTGGGTTGGCAGGTCTCAGTAATCTGGCTAAGACATGTCGACCTCCCACTAACTTGAGCTGTTGCCCGTCCATTAGTACGCTGCGTACACCGCTTGATGTCGGCACTGAAGACGTCGGCACTGCCTGCGATCACAACAAACGTTAAAAATAACGAATCAATTATAATATATATAGATAAGTCTTTGCTAGGAAATTACAGCTTTTACTTCTTTGCAACCGTAACCGTCAGCGCAAAAAGGCGAAAATTTAAAAGGCACAAATTATAACATATCTAAGCCTTGCCATTTATAGACTTCAGAGCATCAAATACATTATTTCCACTACAGAAACATAAAAACAAAACAATGTCTTCATTACCAGTTTTTAGAGGTATAATTCGAGCCAATATATTTTAATATTTTTCGAAGTAGCAACTCAGTAATATTCAATTTTATAATTTTGTAATTGTCAGTATAAAAAGATCGTTTTAGGGCATATCGATATTTAAAATCGATTTTAGCGATATTCGCAAATTATTAAAATCGATTTAACTCACTGACAGCTGTCAAACTGTTCGAATATTTGGTGAAACAAAAATCCTTTACCACAACCATAAAGTAAAACTACAAAACCCTAAACCTAAACTAATATAAAAAAAATAGTCGTATAAAAAGCTTCATTATTTCAAATGTGTTTTAAACTCGACTTATTCAATAAACTTTCTATTAACCGCAGTCCGCATGCATCATTTCATTGTTAATTATGCGACATGCATATAAAATCATGCTTTTTATTAAACTATACTAAAAGAGGCTGCATATGCTATGTATATGCGATGCATGCAATGTGAATCACCTGTTGTATCTTTATCCCCTGCGGTAGTCTAACTGGATGCATCTGATTTACCTATAATACGCAATATGCAATGGTCAGGTAATATTTCTGTTAAAAGAATTTTAACATTTCCTTTTTAATCAATACACATATGTAATTGAAATGAAATTTGAAAAATATCAATTTCTACAATTACAAAATTCACAATATTTGGTGAGAAAGTTACATTTTTTAAGTCATGAAACACCACAGCACAATATCAAGGTTTTTCTTGTCCAAGTAAATTTTACTTCTATTTAAAACTCATGAAATTTCATAAAACGTCTGAATTTGTTTAATTAATTTATTTATTTATTAATAGAACATTACCTGTTGTAATTTCAAAACGGGCGGCGACGAGGTAGACGTTGTTACTGTTTGGCCTCCTGAAAATTATTTTACATTACATCAAAAGTAAAAATAATTATAACAAAACATAACTTTATCACTTCACAATCATGTGTCACTTCTGACACAATAATTACAAAAAAAAAACAACAAAATACCTGAAATTATACATAACAAGAGAGACTTACCAATATTGCTTAAAACTATAGTCTGTGACGTCGCAGTTCCACCACTTGAAGTCATACGAATGGAGCTGCCATCGCTTTGCTAAAAAAAATTATAATGATTCTCAAATACTGAATATAAAATTTAATAAAAAATCGGTCAAGCCGTTGCGGAAGAGTAAGTTAACTAACATTGTGAAGCGAGAATCTTACTAATCTTGCTAATATTATAAATACAAATGTTTGGATGGATGGATAGGTGGATGGATGTTTGTTTAAAGGTGTCTCGAGAACTGCTGTATGGATCAAAGCTTGGAAGAAAACGTCGACCACTAATTATTTTTTTTTTAATCCCGCGCGGACAGAGTAAATAAGTTGCGGATGTAAGTAAATTGTAATAAATTCTATCTATCATCAGATTATGGTCAAGCGCTAAGTAAAGTACTTAGAATTACCTGTAATATAATATTGTGCAAAGGTTTTGCAGATGTGAGTAAAAGCGGCCTCGCTAGTCTCGTTGAAGGCGACAGCACACGCACACTGCCGCGCCCTCGCACGTTGCTCATGCCTCCCATGTTGCCCACGCTACTCATGTTGCCCACACCACTCATGTTGCCCACGTTGGCTACGCCCGCCACTTGCAACGCTCGTGCCCCACCTACTACTCCCTCCAGTGATATCATTTGACCCTACAAAGAATTTCACCATTAACTCTTATTACATTTATCCTTAAATGGCTGTAATATAATAAAAAGCATAATAAATACTAAAATAGTTCATGGCCATACCTGTGCATTAGTTAATAACTTGGCAACAATAGGCTGCGAGGTTTTGTCACCTGTTGACTGTGTTCTTACAGATTGTGATATTGACTTTGGTGTTTGGTTAGCTAACTGTATAGTCTGACCACTTGCCAACTGTATTGTCTGACCACTGGATAACTGCACTGTTTGCCCACTAGGCAACTGGAACGTTTGACCGCTAGGCAACTGAACCGTCTGCCCGCTCAACTGCACAGTCTGACCGCCGATTTGGACAGTCGGTGACGCGAGCACACTTTGACCACTGGACATTTGACCACTTTGACCGGATAATTGAACACTTTGACCGCTTAATTGTACCGTTTGAACATTACCACCGGCTAACTGAACTGTTTGTACACTTTGGGACGGAAGTACACTTTGGCTTGCCACTTGTACACTTTGTCCACTCGGTAGTTTCACGGTATGTCCCGTTAGTTGAACACTTTGACCTGCTAATTGAACCGTTTGTCCCGCTATTTGTACCGTTTGTCCTAATTGGACCGTTGACACTGGGATTTGGAGAGATTGGCTCGTTTGGGGGTTTGATTTGATAGTTGGGGAGGAGTTTTGTGGTCTGGGGCTTGGGTTTTTGACTTGTGTTGTGGCGACCGCGCGGACAGTTTGCGGGGCGGCTAGCTGCACTGTTTGCCCACTGGGCAGTCGGACGCTGTGCGTGGGCAGTTGCAGGGAGGAAAGCTGGAGCGTGTGTCCGGGAGTCAGCTGCACAGCCTGTCCGCTGGGCAGGTGGACCGTCTGGTTGGTGGCAAGCTGCACGGTCCTGCCTCCAGCCAGTTGCACGGTCCGCGTAGACACGGATGACGTTACCACTGTCGGTACACTGCTTACAACCGTAGTTACGCTCGCTGACGTCTGAAATTATTTAAAATTTTGATGTGTTAAATTTTTAATTATTATAATGAGGCAAGACTGCTAATAAATGTATTATAAATACCTGAGTCAAAGAAGACACGGGCGTTGTGCTCGTTGTCGTCCGTTTCTTTGCTGTTGGTGAGTCTGTAAACCGTATGACTAATATTAATGAAAATAGAAAAACACAGGCAATTGTTTGTATCAACATATGTTTGTTTGTAGCAAATATGATTAAATTGTTACTGAATGCAAGTACTTACTCTGCGGCATCAAGGCTTGTGGCGAGATAAGTGACTTCCCTGAGGATGGTGTGGCCGGACTCAGCACCCGCACAACACCTCTTCTTTGTGCCGGAGTTGTCTGTTGAATTATTAAATTATACATCATCAATTAAACTCAGTTATCATTATCATCAGCCTGTCTGTACATTTTTCTTACAATCCATGCAAATTTTCTTATGGCTTCCTCTTCATTCCTGGCCGGCCAAATTTAAACTCATGACTCTTTAGTTGAGTTTTATACTTAATCATTTTCATCAGCTCACAATAAGTCCCCTCTGAGGGGCTCGGAGCCTACCCTTAGTTAGGGTTGTCTGGGTGGTGGTTTCATACTTATTTACAAAATATTTAGATACTTAATTAAAATACCTGTGTGGGAGGTGTGTTGATCGTCAAAGTGGTTACCGTTGATGTAGTCTGTGCCGAAGAAGAAGACGGCCGTATCAATAGCGATCGTGTTACTTGCGCCATCTGCATTTGTACAATGTTTATTAATTAAAAAATATATTTATAAGATATAAAATTAAAAAAAAGTCACATTTCGGTTGTAATGCAATTTTAAATTAGTAATATTGAGCTAGTACCTTAGCCTGTGTCTGTTGGATAGATGGGACTGATGCGGGTTGAACTATGGACACCATTGTTGTGTGCTGGTTAGACAAACTTGAAGACATCTGAAAAGTATACAAAATATCTATAGCCAAGTATAGAACACTAGCTGTCTCACGCGACTCTGTTCGCGCGGAATTAAAAAAAATTATAAAAGACAATGTTCTACAACTATAGTAAATTTTAGTGAGATCCTTTGAGCCGTTCCGGAGATACCTTCAAACAAACATCCATCCATCCTTCCATCTAAACATTTGCATTTATAATATTAATAAGAAAGTAAAAATTAGTAAGAAAGTTATGCTAATTCACTTGTGACTATATTTTTTAATGCTTCTATTTTTACGATACTTACATTGCTCTGTGATGCTTCAATTTTCTGTGCAGCTTTTGGTTTAGGTGTTACAACCACAGAAGTATATGACTTAGCCCCAGTTTCATTTGCTTTACTTTGTCCGATAATCTTCATAGTTTCTGGTGTCTTTGCTTGAGTTTGCTTCGGAGACTGCTTTGGTATCGGGATTTGTTTGGGCACTGTGTTTATTTGTTTAGCTGTTTGTTTAATTTGAGTTATATTAGGTTTCTTTTGTGTCTGATTGACTTTGATCATGTTTGTCTGTGTGTTCTGTTTTGGTAATGTTTGTTTGATTTGTGGCGTTTTAATTTGAGTTTGTTTGGGTTGGAGGTTCTTTGTTTTAGGTGTTGGTGTTGCGACTAGTTTGCCCTTCTGTTTGTGTGTCAGTTTGACTTGCGTGGCCTGCGTGGCTTGCATGAGGAGCTGCGCGGAGGAGAGGTGCGGCGCGGGGGAGGGGCCGCTGTCGTCTACATCCACGTCGCTGTCAGATGCATTTTCTATTACTTCTTCAACGCTGGCTACTTCCATCTCCATCTGGAATAGTTTTTTTTTAATCATGTATTGGTATGTTTTTGTAGAATTTTGGGAAGCAATAATTTGAATGTTACAAGGATTTAAAAAAATTTAAGACGGGACCGGGAAGAACATTTTGGGTTCATTTTTCTTTTAATTATGTTATGTTTCTAATATTGATGGTGAAGATTCTAACGATAATTGCAACATTAACGATGAACTATGAAATAAAAGTATAATTTTTAATCAATACAGAAAACATTTATATATTGGGGTACTTACTGCAGTTTGCGGCGAAGTAACGGGCGGTGCAATTGGGATTGTTTTACCTCCGCGACCGCGAGGACCACTGGTCTTTAACCAGTCCTCTTCACTCCTGTTGAAATACGAGTTTTACATAAATAAAATTAAATATACCCATGTAGGCCAGAATTGGATAAGCAAGAGTTTTGTCCGATCCCGGCGGACGACCTCGATTAGCGAGAAATAGAATAGTAGAAGTCACTACTGAATATCGTAGGTAAATAAAACATGAACATTTCACAGAAAGATTTTATAAAAACAATTCTAATCACCTGTTTCTATGTAAATATGTCCACACTGCAGTTCTCTGGTCGTACTTGACAATAGGATCTCGCTTCACAGCCAGAAGTTTCTCTAGTGCAGCTGAAACTGCACTCGACAGCGCTTGCTCGGTGCATGGAGCTATCCATTGAGACATCCTTAAAAAAACATAATTTAAATTAAAGTTAGCCAACTAGTAACTAAAATAGTATTTGTTTAGCTGTTAATAGTAATTGTTTAGCTGTCAGATAATTTTTATGGCCTCGTCTGAGTTTTAAGGGTAAAGTCCTATGTTATTTATTATAAATATTTAAAATCTCGTAAACTTGCCTTGTGTAACACAAATTTCCTTTAGAAACCTAACTCGTCTATGGGCCACAAAACTTTATTTTAGTAACAAATTCGACAAAAAAGGAGCATAGTTACTTGAGCAGTGTGACGAGGTCTGTGCGCGTGCCCTGTCCATTGGGCAGTCTGGCGAGGGCATCCCGAAGCAGTGCGCCGAAGGTGGCTCCGCGTGGCCGCTGAGCGCACACTAGCGCCCCCGTCGCACCACCGCCAGCAGCCCGGACTATAGGTCCCACCACTGACCTGTACCTGTAACACAACCGCAACCACCACCACTCAAATATACATGGACAGGCTAGAAACTGTGATATTTTGTGCCTGTTTGTTTTTGACGCTAACGTGTGCGATTACTGGTGGTGGTGATGATTTGAACTAATAATGGAGATAGAAATTACTAGTAACATTAACAGAAGCGTTTTAATCAACACGAAGCAAGAGTTGTAATTTCCAAGCAATGACCTATCCATTTATAGAAATCAGTGACAAAACCACAATGATTCATATTATATATGAGAATTTACTTTATCTAATTTAATTTATTTATTTTATTAATCCTTAGGGATGTCCTAAAAGAAAATAAACAAATCCCTGACGATTCAATGAGGAAAACAACTCCCATAGATGGATGGATTTGTAAGAAGGTACCTCCAGAAATGCTGCATGGATCTCACAAAAATTTGGCAAAGATATAAAACATACTCCAAAAGAACACATAGACTGCTTATTAAGTGTATTTTTAATTCCATGCGGACGGAGTCGCGGGGACAGCTAGTATCAATATAAGAAGCAACAATTGTAAATAGTACACTTACCCGTACTGCACATAAGTAAATGGTTTGGTAGCGGAAGCAAATCTCTTTCTCTCCTGAGCTCTGAAGTCTGCAATCTCTGCCGGAGTAGGAGCTCGCACTGTCCAAGACGTGGGGTATCTGGAAAGACTTTGATCGTATTAATTGGTTAAATTGCTGAAACTCATATCAACAATTGTAATAAAAAAAAACTGTTAATAACATTTAAATGCTAATAAAAATATTTATATCATGTTAATTAGTCTCATAGCTCATAGGTAATTCTTTGAAAAAAAAATTTTTTGACTAGGCTTGGAGCCTATGTTAGGGGTGGTTAGAAAAAGTGCAATAATTTAATATAATATTTAGGGAAACGAGAATTTCGACAATTTCCATGTTTTGACAGTAAGGTTAATTTAATATACATTTCTTACCATAATTCCAAGGTGCATTTATCTCAAAAGGTCAATTACAATTAAAAATCTTAAATTTCAATGATTTTTTCCAAAGTGAAGAGAAGCAAATTAAAACGACTACTCTTTTATGTCCCAAGTGCAAGTTATCAAGTCTATCAAATCTTGGCAAATGAAAGAAACAAAGTACTAACAATACTGATATTATAAAAAGATTGAAAAGAGCTTTTATTTGATGTAAAATTGACTTTTTTTTTATAAAACGATCCCCATAAATATTAGCAACAATATGTGTTGATTCGCCGCCATTTTATTCATTTATCTACTGAAGTTAAACTGGAATTAACATTGATTAGATTATCAAATACTGTGCCTGTTTCCTTACCTGGGTGGTGGAGGGTCTGTGGAGTGATGGGGGGAGACCGCACGAAGCCAGCGTTCACACAGCCGGCCCAGGATAGCATCGCAGTCACGACCCGCGCCTATCCATTGGTACGTCTTTAAAAAGAAAAATATATATATTTAAAAAAAACAACATTTTTGCTGTAAAATAAAATATTTTTCATAAACCAATAAACAAAAAAACTAATTCCACTGAGTAAACATTGATTGTTACTATTTATTTACACAGAATAAGGTCTAAAGGTAGAATGAAAATGTTTATAACTCACTTGTGACTCGGGTATAAATTGCAAATATGGTACAAAATCATCAGGATGAGGTCCTCTTTGTCCGGCGAGAAAGTCCAACGCTGAATTTAGTTCACCACACCAATCGTCAGATACTTAAAATAAAACATACATGAAATTTTTAATAGATCAGTCAGGAATATTGCATAGACAATTTACTTTTTTAAAATTAGGCCTAAGAAATCGCATGAAACACCTAGTATTAACATAACTTACAATTGTACCAAGTATTAAGTGGTGCTATTGGAGACCTCATAACAGCGGCACATCTTGCCTGTAATTGTTGTTTAGATGCTCTATGGGCCGCTTTAGCTGGGAACAAAGCTCGGACCAATGCTAGGAAATTAGCATGTGTTGTCTCCGTCAGTTCATCGGCGTCCAGATTGTCCTCATTTGTCTCAGTTGATGTATCCACTGGTAAAACTTCCCCAGACTCATCTGCTAACTCTATGGGTAATGCCATCATGTCTGAAATTATTTTATCTGTAGTTAAATTTAGGGTTGTAAAAGAGGTCTTCTTAAGAGATGAAGTTCCATCACAACCCTAGTTAATATATATAAGTCAAATGTACCAAAGATTAATTTTGATCATAAGCCTTACAAAAGGCCAAAGTCTCCTTGCAGTCCTAACATGGATTTTAATTTGTGCTCACATTAAATATATAAAAATATAGGCAAGTCTGTAAGTACATAATACTTATATTAAATTATAAACAAAATGTATGTTTACTCACCAATCCCATCTAAATCCTCCAATTTTATAGGCACTGGTTGTAATACTTTTGAGTTTTGCATTGAACCAACATAATCCATTGGTTCTTGTTTTATTTCCAATTTAGAATCATTGTAGTTTGAACTAAACAAATGGGAAACAGGAAGATAATATCATGTATATAAACTATGTATTTCACATGAAATAACATAAAATACTAACTTTGTATAGTTAGGATACTTATTATCTAAAGTTTCTTGTTTGATTTCCGAGTGATCCAACAATTTCTTAGAAAACTTGGGACTTGAAACGGGATCCAGAAATGAGGAACTTTCCGAGTCAGACTCTTCAGGTTCACATTTTATCTTAATATTTGGCAACAATGGTTTATTTTCAATACTATCTTGGTCTTCTTTAGACTTTTTAATCGCAGACTTTGAATCAGTTTTTGAAGCTTTTTGATTCAATTCTTTTTTAGCACCTTTACGTAACTTATTTATAGGACTTTCTGTTTTAGCACCACCAAACATAAGTTTCTTAGTTCCATTCATCATGGCTACTCTTTGTTTAATGTCTTCTAAGGTTATACCAGCGGTATTGAGTTCTGGATGGTTCTGTAATTTTTTTTTTTATTATTAATTTATGGAACACACAACAATTGTCTTATAAAAACTATGTTTTGTTACTTCTCTGTACTGTCTCCTAGATCGGTGAGTTGACAAAACCTTCTTTAGACATTCTAAAGATGTTAAATGCGCAGGATCAGACCCACCCAATGTCCCCGATACATTGTTATCCACTTGCTGCAAAATAAATACATTTTCACAAAATTATTATAATGGACAAGTAAAAAATATAGTTGACATATTAATTTAATATTTAGTGATATCTGTTATATGTGACATTTCCATGTTAAGTTAAGAACCAGCCACATTGAAGAAAGACAAACAATTATATTTTATCATTTTCTTTTTAATCTTATTAGAATAGAAGAGATTAAAGATCTAGGTATAAACTGGGCTATAAAATCGATAATTTTATTCTAAATTCAATGAATTGTAGGTAGGTAACTAAGAAATTGGGATGTATATAGAAGACATAAATATGTTACCTAATAAATTTATGTCCACATATGTATGTATGACTTAATAAAACAACTTTTTATAAGAATAATAGTGCAGATAACATTACCTGCCCTGTTACTGTCTGTTTCTTCTTTTTAATCAACCTTTCCGGAGCACCTTCAGGGTAATTTTGATCCTCTGAGTCCTCACCCCCAACCTCACCCCAAATAGCAGCTAACTCTTCAAAGTATCTTTGTTTCACTCTCATATATAATGGCTTGTATTTATTTTTGTTAGAAGCTTTGGGAGCTAGAACTGGTAACTTTGGTATAGGACCTGGAGGTGCCCCTTTAACAGCTGCTAACAACCGTTCCCGAGAGATCAACAATTCCGGTAAGAGCTTAGCATAATATGACTTATTCTGGAAATTAGTCAAAGATAATGATTAAAAATAAGCTCTCCATTATTTAATGCCATAATAAGATGAGAATATAAAGTGAAAAAAATGAAGATTTACCTTTTGCTTTTGTTGTTTTGCTCTAGCTTTCTTCAGAAACTTTCTCATTCTAGCTATATCTGGTCTATAATTACCTTGTCTTAAATTGTTATAAAAGTTGCTAAGTGGTGATGTGAAATGAAATGGTTCATGGTTAAATAGCATTTTCAATGTTTTCTCATTCTCTTCTTCTTGATCGTTTTTAAATTGTGGCAATAATTTTGTAAGCTCTTCTTTATGTTTATCTTCCAGGCTATCCCAAGTTTTTATAGAAAAAAACTCTTTAAAGATGCTATAATCTTCACAAAGCTCTTGCGGCAACTCTAAAGTGTGGCCTAGGATACTAACTGGCTCCATTAACTCCTCGTCGCATTCTGAACTTCCACTTGAACTATCGGAAGAACTGCTACTACTAGATTCACTACTATAACTTTGTTCACTTTCCATCTTTTCCTCCGTATCTTCGACCTTGTCAGACATTTGGAGAACCTTTTTACTGGCCGTAATCAAAATAACAAAACCTGTTCGCTTAAATCACCTTATTTTCACTGTAACATTGATATATTCTCTTGTTTTGCTGCTCTTGTTTACAAAAAGTATACGCAATTGTACACTATTTGGTAGCGAGAAATCATGAAGGTTTTTGAATTAATGTCACGTCTCATCTAAAATAAAATACAGCGCATTAGACAATCTGCGGCGTTTCATACATAGTATGCGCCAGAACGGCACATTGCGATGAGAAAATAGCTTGACAACCAAAATCAGCGACATTTTGCCATTTCAAAATAGAATTTTAAAACAAAACACGTCTTGTCTATGTTCACTAAGAAATTTTTGATCTTACCATTATCTATGGGATTGTCATAGATAAGGTGCCACTGTAAACCATTTTTTGTTAAAATTGAAAAACTGTTTTGCTTTTTTAGTAAAATTTTAATAAAATAACAATCATATTAGATATATTGAAATGCGTGACCAAGAATAAACTTAAAGGGAACTGCAGATGTTATAGAACACTCGCAAGCAAAGTACATGTGCATTGTATTTGTACATGAATTATTTAAATGGTGCAAGTCTTTAAAGAAGTATGAAAATTTAGAATATTAAGCTAATGAATTCAATATTAGTTACTTAAATATATTACTATCGGATCTGGGGATGCGTTTTATAGTTTGCTCTAATTTCAAGTTTCCCGCAGTTTTCCGTTTCAAATATTCAGTTGTCTTTGGTCTTAATGGTAGCTGTACTTTTATCTGTGGCATTTACATTATTTGCGTGATGGTGTACGGTTTGACTTTTTGTTTGACGTAAATTAATCGTGGTGTAGTAAATATGGCTGACGAACTCAATGTTGACAGTCTTATTCACAGACTTTTAGAAGGTATTTTTTCAATATTTAATTAATATTTACTTCTCATATTATTATTTCACTCTTAAAATTACTATAACAATATTTTTTGTAATGATTCTGGTTTTCTAGTTGCGTAATTATCACTCAGTGCATAGGAATAGAAACGTCAAACTCATAAATAAATCGATTATCTTAAATTCTTATCAGATATTAGTTTTATAAATAATAGTTTAAGCATAATAGAGACGTTTATTTACATACTGTAAATACATCAAACACTAAAATTATCCAGTGTTTATAATGCGAAGAAACAATATAGTTTAGTAATAATCACGCCAGGTTTCATGGCACCTAACAATTCCATGGGCTTATTGTTATGCTTTGTTCGCATTATACCTTACTTTACTTCTTAATTTCACTTTATCATGCTGCTTTTTATGGGTTACGACAGTATACACACTGCAACAGGAAACAGCAAGGCGAAAAGGCAAATTGAAAGACATCTTTTCGGGAGAATGTATGGTTTATCCCTAAATATTATTCAAAGTATTCAGCTAGAATCGTACAATTTTATTTAATGCCCCATTGCCCTAATAATTTGCTCCATAAACATTTCAACCTTGTAATTTGACAACCTTAGAAAATGGCAAATGTTAATCATAAACCTATACATTTGTGAATTTTGTTGATATAAGTGAAATTAATGAGATAATGCTTAATAGACTAGTTGCAAATTGTAACTGTTTCATACAATTATATTTTTTATATATCATAATATCAAGGTCAAATGAAAATTAAAAAATGAGTCATGAATTTAGGTAATTAAAAAAAATCCAAAAAGATGAAATACAATAAATAAGTAATAAATAAATACTGGCTATATCACTGTCCATTTCAAATTTTATTTTTGGCATGTATAAATCATGCATTAATAACTACTTAAGGCATGCCCATAATTTGTGATGTAAAATTATTTGTGATAGTTTCCAATGTTTTTTCACCTTTCAAAATGTGTTCCTACGACAACATGTTATGTAATACTCTTAATATATACAGCACTGCACCTATTGTTATTGCTTGAAAAAAGTATAATAGACCTAAGAAGACAGCTTTTCATTTTATTACTAATCTTATAAGTACTGTTATACCAGTATTGTTATTGGCTTCTCTTTGATTTTAAAATTTAGTTAAGCTAATAATGATAGAGCTGTACTTTTGGCATCAAGATTTTTATACACCTTTGCTAAGATTAACATGCACTAATCATTGCCACAGTTCGAGGATGCAGGCCAGGGAAGACGGTACAGATGTCCGAGTCAGAGGTGCGTGGTCTCTGCACCAAGTCGCGGGAGATATTTCTTCAGCAACCAATATTACTGGAGTTGGAGGCACCATTAAAAATTTGTGGTAATTTTACTTTAATATTTTTAATGTTCAAATGAGCCATTTGACATTACATTGACTCTTGGTTTGCCCCTTTGAGGCAACTTAAACAGGTACAGTAGCATAAATTGATGTTTTAGTTACATAATTACATATTACTTATGTAAGTTTAGTTTAAAATATGCCATAACATGCATTGGGTACTCAATATTTTAGGAATTAATAAAAAGAATAATAGAGAGATCACTTAACAATGTAAACAGATCTATATTTGGCTGATTTATAGAAATAAATATGGCTAAATATATCAATATATCAATGTGATGCACAATGTACTCATACATGAAGTTATTTACAAAAGACATGTTAACATGTTAATTAAGATTATTGATAATGTAAATATTACTGCTCATGTTGTGAAATCATCTTATGAGTTTGACAAACAAAATCCTTCCTTTAAAGTACCAAACATACTCAGTGTAATATTATAACCTGCAATGTGAAACATCCTTTAGATTTGTTTAAATATATAGGATGTTTAATTTCTTTTCAGTCTATTGATGGCAATATATTGCTGCTTATTGCTAAATAATAAGAAAAAGTAAATAAATTAACCATGCTTGTATTTAATGTTCTTTGTTATTGCAGGTGATATTCACGGACAGTATACAGATTTGCTGCGTCTCTTTGAATATGGAGGATTTCCACCGGAAGCCAATTATTTATTTTTAGGCGACTATGTTGATCGTGGGAAGCAATCTCTTGAGACCATATGCCTTCTGCTTGCATACAAAATAAAGTATCCTGAAAACTTCTTTCTGCTGCGAGGCAATCATGAATGTGCAAGTATAAACCGTATTTATGGTAAGTGTTTTATTTACATTTTAATTTTATAACCTAAAAACAACTCTAATGATACTTTTTGGGTATAATTCTCTGCACAGGAATGTAATTATTTTAATAAAATTCACAGTTTTTGTTTTGTGATTTGATTTTGTGCAATATATAGTTAAGTTGTGACCCATATCTGGTGATTAATTATAATAAAGAAGTGCCATTGTAAAGACATCGTGATGATTCTATTCTTTGCTTTTGAGACAGAATTATTCTGATGAATGATTTTGTTATTATGAATTACTTATCATGTCAAACTTTGTATAAAAGTTGCTAAAGTTAATATAAACAAATGTGAAACAAATATTTAGTAGCTAATAATGTTAACAATTAAAATTCAATTCCAGTTGAAGTTATCAATTTTTTTTGTTGTACCCATTTATAGTCTGATAAGGAGACATGAAACAGGTAGCTAATGTAAAATGTTTATCTTCAAATGTGTTTTGTTCAATTTGTTCAACAACTTTTCAATTAACTAAATATGAATCATAATTATTAAAGCTTCTAATTCTATAGAATAGAATATATGACATTTGTTGTATAACAGGTTTCTATGATGAGTGCAAACGCCGATACAACATAAAGCTGTGGAAGACATTCACGGATTGCTTCAACTGCCTGCCGATAGCAGCCATCATTGATGAGAAGATATTCTGCTGCCATGGCGGCCTGTCGCCCGACCTGCAGGGCATGGAGCAGATCAGACGGATAATGAGACCAACAGATGTGCCTGATACAGGTCGATTTTTTATTACAATAGCAAAACCTTTAACTTTTGAAATGATTAGTATATGTTTCCTCAATCACAGTGGTATCTATAATAATGTGCCCCTTTATCCTAACCTGAGCGTTTTATATTATGGTCTGGTCATGTCACAAGCCAATGACTGCACTACCAACACTCCTTATGGTAGATTATGTCTATACTAAATCCAATAGTGGATGGTATACGATGGGATATGGGAATAGTAATTGTTAGGAATAATCATGACAGAACTGTAATCTGGATATGTTTGAATGTGTTGAATACATTTTATTCAATTATGGGACTTACTAGGGATTCAATATAAGTGCTGATTAGTTTGTGAAATAAAAGTATTAGTAATATTACGTATTTACGTAACTATGAATGAGCAATACACTTAACCTATATTCTTTGGATTTATTGCATCATTATTGGACTTATGATCTCATGGTGATAACATTTTTTCAAATTGGTATAGTGTAGTTATGACTTAAGTTATACTAGTATGTAGATTGTTTTTGGTATTAATGATATAATTTCCTACAAGGTATGATAGTAATGTTTGAACAATAAAAAATTCTTTTAAATTATTACAACACTAATTTTTGTAAATTGGAGTCATATGTGATATGAGTCAGGTTTTTTGTTTGAAACTTATTCTATTTTCAATAGAACATTGGAATAAATCGTTTAAAATTTACATCATATTATGCTTGAAGATCGAAGAAGATTGACTCAAACCACATTCTTTTAACCCTCAAAATACGAATAGTTGGCTATTTAATAGTATTTATTTTGTAGTGAAATTTAATTTTGTATGCATAAATCTTTACTTTACTTCTTATTTCATACCAATCGTTTTAATTTTTTTATATTCTTTCAGGTTTGCTGTGTGACCTGCTGTGGTCCGATCCCGACAAGGACGTGCAAGGTTGGGGCGAGAACGACCGCGGAGTGTCCTTCACTTTCGGCCCCGACGTCGTCAGCAAGTTTCTCAACAGACATGATTTGGACTTAATTTGTAGAGCTCATCAGGTAGATATATTGATATTTTGTATTATATTTTATATATTTTAACTATCTCTTTTTCGTTAAAATAAGAGGGATTATGTTTCAGTAATAGTGTCTGCAGTTAAAGCTCTTTTCAGACATTTGACTTGTTTATTTTTAAGTCAGTATTGAAATATATACAAATAATATTTGGCTATTTTTGTTGTAGGTGGTCGAGGATGGGTACGAATTCTTTGCGAAACGTCAGCTGGTGACTTTGTTCTCTGCGCCCAACTACTGCGGCGAGTTTGACAACGCCGGTGGCATGATGTCCGTAGACGAGACACTCATGTGCTCTTTCCAGGTACATTATAATAATGAATACTGTGTTAAATCATAAAAGTACATGATAGTAAATGGTTCTATTTGTGAATTTTGTACAGATATTGAAACCATCTGAGAAGAAAGCTAAATATCAGTACAACGGCATCAACAGCGGCAGACCGGCCACGCCGCAGAGGTCGCCTCCAAAGAAGAAATAACTGACGTTTGGGATCCAGTGTGCTGCACAGTGAGACGAATGCTACAACATTATATGTTTAATTATATCAACTATTTTAATTAATATATTAAACATAGTCAACAGCAAAGCCGAATAAAACTTCAATGTTGACAAATTATTTATCAATTTGCTTGTGCCTTCTTATTTTTATTTTTTAATGTAGCGAGTGATATTAATTTACTTATTTAGTTAACAGAGTTTATTAATGTCACGTGGTGTGATGTTTTATTCGGCGATGGTTTCAGACTATAGCTTTTTCGATCCCTGACCATTAGCTTCCATTGGATGCGAGTTCAGTTGACATCACCCTATTGATATCGTAGAGAAATTGTTATGTTGATGTTGAACATAGGATGGTTCAGAACGATGCGGGCATTGGACACGAAGCGTCACATTGAATATATTATCTATTATTTAAGTTGTAGTGGATCCAAAGCACTCTGCTTTGTCTATCATTGTGTAACGAATGTGCCTACGACTGTAAAGTATACATAGGTCTCGGTATAAGTGACGATTATTGTTTCGATTAAAAATTCTAGTTTATTAAAATTAAGAATTCCCTTTCTTTCTAAAAATTTAGTCATAATATATGTTTGGTTTAGTGTTAAATAATGATTTTATTTATTTCAAAAAGGAACATGCTTTGGAGCTGGCCTAAGTCGTGGTAAAACCTTCGGACACAGCTGGATTTTCAGTTAGGACTTCATTGCAGCTCACTAGATATTATTTAGCGGGTGTGTGCCGATGCTCCCAGTGAAATTAATGTTAATTTGCACTCAGTATTAATGTTTAATATGAATTAAGTAGATGATTGGATAAATTTTGTCAGATTGGCAAGTCCGCCCCACTGAGGCTATACCTTCAATTTGTAGTAAGTCTCAAAACTCCACAACGGATGTAACAGTGGTAGACGCAGTGTAGTCCTCGCAACAATAGTGCAATTGCTATCTTGTTACGATTATATTTAAATTATATGCAGGTTTTGCATTGTACAATTTTAATTTTTAGCTATAGCTTATTTTAATATATTACTTTTAATATATTAAAATATCAAATATTCAATAAATATCGCTAATTAAAATAAGAAGTTTATTTTTGTTTTTTCTTTTTCATTTAGATTTGCATTTATGGAGATAACTCTTCTTGTTTTTGCATAAAAATTTTAACATTACTAATGAAATCTTGAGAATTGTTCTCATTATTTTAAAATCACTGTTTGCTATTTTTCTTTTTGCTTTTTTAAATTTATGAATTAAAACTTTATTCTCGTTTTGTCTACTTGTAAGCTATTAACTAGTAACTTGTGCTGAAATTAGATTTATGTGAATTCACTTTATTATTACACTTAAAGTATCTATTTTCATCTACACTTATAAATGAATAGTTTCAAATGTTATTGAGTTTAAATATACTTAGATTTAAATTTTTTGTTGTAATTTTCTCAGGTGTGTACAATTTTCTGAAATATAAATTTTACTCAATATTTTGTGATGTCATTTATTTACAGATCCTTCATAAATTCTTCTGTAGACCAGCTGCCATCATCGTAATTGTTTCTTACAGGCACTATTAAATCTACAAGATTCTTGTGGTTTTCAACTTTTTCCCTGCATTTGTCGACAAGTTCATCACTTTTGTTTTGATATTTGCTAATATCCATTTCCATAGCTTTTAAATATCCTCTTTTGGCTGTTATCACTCTTTTTAGCCTGTTTATTCTTGCCTCATATTCTTTGGCTAAAGACTCAAGCCATGTTTTTTGTTGTTTTAAGTTAACCATTTCCGCAGCCTTTAATTGATTGACAATGTTATTACTTTTTGGTCTCCTGAAATAAAAAAATAAAACATTTTTATAGTAATTGTAGCTCATACATGTCCTACCACAGGTTTCATGCCTACCCTATGTTAAGGGTGACAAAACCTTTGTCAACTTTGCTGTATCAGTGTGGATCGATAAACTATACACATCTTTGTATTCCTTCACTGATGTGCAGGTTGTATGACAATATTACATATGAAAATTGATTTGAAAGCACATTGATACATGATAAGAATTGTATGTGGATCTGTAAATTACAGGACTGTGTAGAATTATGCTATCTCAATTAAATAAACTCTTTATAATTTTATCCAATGTAAATCAAACTCATCAGTGAAAATTCCTCAACCCGGTAGGTTAACCTTGCTTTTAAACAGTAAAAACTACGATAATAGTATCACACTTACATGTATCAATGTGTTAATTACTTAATACATACCATGCTTCTTTATCTGGATTTAATATAGCAAACTTCTCCTTTTGTTGCTCTAAAATTTGTAATTTCTTTGTCATATTCTCATACTGCCACATGGTACTCAGCTCCTGGATCATTTCATCAACTATTCCTTGCTTTAAATAGTTGAACATGGGTACCCATTTTACTCGTTTCAGTTTCGCTTTTGGCACTGTTTGGAGAAAATCTTCGTCCCTTGAATTATAGCAATTTATACATAAATAATGTATATATATAAAAGTGGCATATTAAATAATCAATTTAAATATAATTCGTACTTCACCAAGTTTGCTATGTTACTAAATTCCTTAAGAATTGTGAAGTTATCAAACGTAACTTCTGAATTATTCAGAGTAGGTTCATTTACTTGATCTTCCACCTGTTCGCCCATTTCTAGTACACACGAAAAACAACTGCAAACTAACTCAAATAGAAACAAATATGGAAATTATGTTTTATATAGTTTTAAAGCATAACATAAACACAACGCATAAACAATTTGAAATATTAATCTTAACGTCACCTAATGTCAATGAAGCTCTGTATTATTGCCAGATACGCATTAAAATTACCCTATTTTATTTAAACAAGCATTCACAAAAATGATAACACATCTTAATATGTAATACCCACCTTTTTTGTATCCATTAAATTTCTTAGCTTAATTTTTTAATGTGAAATTATGTTCTTGGATTTTAATAAATTATTTTTCATTTTTTTAATTTATGTTCCCACTTTTGCATATTTTTGAAAGTCAATTAAACGTACTACACCTTCCAGCATGCCAATAAATGAAATCTATTGTCAAATTTATATACCTATATTTTATCAATATGCTTATGATAGTAACAAAAAGTTTAACTGTCACCTCCCAAAGAATGTATTTTTTTTAATTTTATGACCTGGTAACATAGGCCTTTAGGTCATATCTTTACAAAGAATGTAAAACATCACATGTTAAAGAGTAAACACGAAATAAATTCTGCCACATACGCGGGGAGTGAGGTAAAGAAGACAATCAAACATGTGGATATCATGCTGACATCTGAAGTTGAATGTCTTTATGGACGCATACAAAAAATCTAAAATTATAGACCAACTGGTGAGTGTAATTGAAACTAAATTATAATGGCTCACTAGCGCCTCCTTTCACCGTCAAAAAAGTGTCCTAAGCACTTATTCGTGCTGTAGCTGCTATGTCATGTTTTTCTTTATTTTATGCCATTTCCATGATCCCCTTTAGGTTTATATTGTTTTAACAGAATTCACCGACTCAGATATCCTTGTATTTTCCTTTATTATCCTTTATACACAAAACAAATTCAAAAGTAAATAAGTTTGGAACTGAAACTTCACGAGTGACAAGTCCAGTTTTTTAAAGTTAAAAGTTTAAGAGTTATGCTTAACGTATGAATTAAAAATATATGCTTGTCTGATACAAAGTATATAAGTAGATAAAAAAATTACACAATGAACTAAGAAAACTATACCTTAAAGAAGAATTACATAACATCAACATCACCCTTTTTTCGTGATAGTTGAAAAGGTAGCAAGAAATCGTAATTTAAGTTAAACCTTTTTATTTCTACTTTAAAAAGGGGTATTTGCAAATTTACAGTAATCATCACCTGTTTTGACATTAGTCAGTTTTCCTCGTCTACTGTTTGAATCAAGGTCATCATTTAGTAGTTGTGTTAATTTAAACGTAGCTTGGCATAGTAGTGGAGTGCTAGAGTGTAATATAGTTCATAACAGAATTCTCAGATGCTAAGCATTCCAATTTGATCGTTAGTTGTTTTGTTTAATTAAGTGTTTTCATTGAAGAAAATCATCGCTTTAAGAAAATTGGTAAGTTTGTAAAATTACCTTTTTGTAGTTAGTGTTTGTAAAGTTATTACCTAAATTTTATCAATTTCGTAGAAAAAATTGTTAATTCTTAAAAATATAAAATGTTTACGTTGCAATCGTATTATGCTCTCTAATTCCATTCATAATTTGAAGCGTTTAATTTCTGAGACATTATTGCGTAAATAAAACACATTACTTTACTGTAGTTTAATATTTTTTTTTAATTTATTTGTTGTATACATAAAAATGTTTATAAGTAAGTAATAAAACAATTTATTTTATAACAAAGTTGTTTGTGGCAGTGACTATGTCACACAGTCTTTGCGATATTCACCGAAGCGGATATTCTCGGATATCTTCATATCCATATTCGTAGAAGCATTTATCTGTGGCTTTATTATTTTACATAGTCAAAGAATATTTTATTGAAGGTGTAAATACGTAACTTAGGTAATACCGTGTGCGATGACAGGTCCTTTAGAAGGCAGCGGCTGAAAACAAAATCGTATACGTTTGAAACATAGCCTTATAAACAATTGAGTACAAATTCGATTCATATAATATTTTATTTAATATTTAATATTATATTTGGTTAGTTATAAAATGGTTTAGATTATTTTAAAAATCACATACAATTTATAAATGTATGCAGATTATTCAAACATAGAAGAAATATGTGAAACAGAAAGGTCTTTTATAAACGGTGGGTAAGTAGGAAAAGGTGAAGGAGTGCAAGACCTGCATTTAATATGCCTCTACATATGTTAACAGATATTTGTAAAGACTAGACACGAGGAGGAAGTATTCAATATATTTAAAAATCAAAATGCAAACCATAGATTTAACGACAAAAATAATATAACCTTGAATATAAGTTTCCATAGACTAAATGCTTCGAATTATATTTGTATGAATCAAGTTAAAATTGAAAATACAAAACGCAAAATTTGAACTGAGTTTTTAAAAATAATTCGTTATATTTTTTTGATGTGCCTCCATTAAAACTAACTGTAGTATTCTAGGATTTTTTAATTTGTCTTATTATACTTTATATAAATAAATTAAATCTATGGCATCAAGAACCTAAAGGATATGTGATCTAAAAAATCATACAATGGAAATGGATTGCTCGGAATAATCAATTCATAAACAACTAGCCGAGCATGAACTATGAAATGTGATAAATAAGAAAACTAAATGAATTGTGCTGTTATGAAATAAATGCAGTTAAGTGTCACCATCATTAACATCTGCTGTTGGAGGCCAACTATTCACCGGGAACATTCAAGTGTACACAACAGGTTGGTCAATATTATATACGAACAAAAATACTCTACATTATCCGTCGCGTATACCTACTGCCGAGATGATAATAGATGTTCCTATTTTATAGACTACGGATGAAAGGCATAGTCTCACTTATATCACCCACTGTGAATGCGTCTTCCACCATTAGATCTGTCGTGACCAGATACATGAAATTAGAAAATTATTAAACTCCTCACAATAAACTGTTAGATGTTGTATAGCTGTAGATAGTTAAATTTCGTATTCATTAATCGCAGGCCAATTTGTACAGCCGGAACGTCAAAAGCTGTGACTATTTACAGCGAGCCACTAACCTAAGGGCCTGATCGGATGCTTGTCCCAGAGGAAGGTGCGTTTGACTGGCGACAGGTAGGAGTCGCGGATGTATGAGGGGCTGCGGTCCCATCTGGCGAGCGGCTTCAGCAACGGCCAATCATACCAGAAGGGGTCCCGAGTTATCGCTGAGATCGGCAGCGAGGGGCTCGGGTTGAAAATGTCTGCCCATGGGCGCCGCAGACCGCCGGCGTTGTACAACGGAGCACCTACACGCCACAACAATTAGTGCCGGACACACAGACACCTCTCACTGCCTCTGTACTTCGTCAGCGTTCACTTTTCAGTGTTAACCGTAAAGCGTTCTGTGCATAATCACACGCACACGTGATCGTTGAAACGTTACTTGATGTTTTATTAAGACTTGTTCTATTTTGTTTGACTAAATTTCCACTGCTATAAGTGGTTTTTTTATTAACATGTTCATAGGAATGAGTAGCGTCAGAGAAATAGAACAGTCGTCTTGTCTACTTCTTAAGTTTTTTTGAATATGTAGTCGCATTTGAATTTAAGTAACATTTCAACATTTTTTTATTAAACATGCAAAATGTATTGTAAGTTGTGAATAAGCAAACAAAATATATATTTAGAATAATATGACGTATAAACATGTTGTGAGTTTCATGCGACGATTATATTTGATAAGTTATTTCTTTACTGAGCTTAAGGATGTGATTATGATTGAATTCTAAATGGGTTAGACATGCATATGAGACAGCGTATTTGTACAAAGGACACTTAACACGCATAGGAAAAGTATATTACTTTGTGAATAAAAAGTCGCAATTTTTTATTCACTACAAATTGACAGCTAATTGAAGAATTATGTGACAACTTGCACTAACTACTTGGCTTTTAGTATAAATTTGAACGCAGTACCGGTAAACACTTTTTCAAACTGGATTCCGATCGGATAGATTTCACCAATATATCCAAACGAATTCGCGGAAGAACGAATCTTAAGATGATAAAATTATTTACGAAGAGGGTTGACGAAGATACAGGGTACATCGGGGTCTGTGGCCCTTACCATCGGCATCAAAAGCGACCTCACTATCACGAGGCTGGCTTATCCTCGGCTTGACTGGCGTCGGGGATTTGCCTCGGAGTCCGCGGTCAAAGTCTGCCCACTTTTCGGCTTCAGCGAAAAATGGATCCTTTTTGAAGGCGTCCGATATCCTCGACGGCCAAGATCCTTCACGGCAAGTCTTATAATCAATACTACACGAGGACTGAACACAAGGGCGCGATACTTGGTTACTTAACCTTAGTCGTTACAAAGTGTAATGTTTATGATGTTCTGCTCATATATTTAATGTCAACTTTGCGCATATTTACAATGCAGGTCATGCACATCCTGATACATGAGATGGCGGTTCTCGTGATAAATTCACACATTTCACATGAATACATCGACAATGAATCATTAAAATAAATTCTTAAATTAATGAGAGGTACTACACTACTAAATCAAAACACATGTCGGTCTTTTATATTTTAATATAAAAAAATATGGATCGTGTTAGTTAATGCAATTTTTAGTTTGTACTATTTATAATAAATTTGGGAATATCGAATTCATATTAAAAGGTATATAACAAATATAACAATAACTTTAAACTAATTCTAAACTTAAACAGATAACGGTAAAGAATAAAGTGAATATTCAAAATCGGCCAAATTAAAAGAAAAAAACAATTTCGATTTTCGTATACATAATACAAAAGTAAATTAACCATTTTAATGAAATGAACATACGTCACAAAATTTTTAATTCTTAAGCTGATAAATAGTAAACTTTCGTATAACTTGATATTAATTTTGACAAAATAATCAAATGACTTAGAGAAAGTCTAATTCACAACAACTAGATTCAAATATATTTGAAACAATAAGTGAATTAGATCCCCTTTTGTACAATATTCTGAATCCACGTGATCTGCTGTGTTCAATATGTTCCGATTAGATGGTAAACATGTCCGCTAAACATTTTTAAAATATAAGGAAACATAAAGAACTCAACCTATTACATGGACCAGCCGAATACCGTGATCCGTGCTTTACTTAAAAGAAAATATCAACTTTAGACACAAAAGTTGACTATAAATTTTCATCATCAAATAAAGAACGAATTTCGGAACTTAACCTAACTTAAACTATGATGATCGTGCATATAGTTTAATAAAATTTACCTTTTCCCCAGTGTGGTTTATTGTCGGGTTCATATTCGATGCCTTTTAGGCTCTTGGATGAGAGTGGGTCGACGATGGGAGCGGTTAGGTCGGTGATAGGGTACGCCCGGTCCTTGAGATAGAGGCCGTAGCGGGAGGGATACAGGCGGTCGATCGCGGCCATCCTGTCAAGATGGTCCTGCCACGCCTTGTGAGCATCGAAGGGGTCAACGCCACGACGGATACGCCTCGGCACGTGGTATACTGTTAAACGTGAAAAAAAAATCAGAATTTCATCACGCCAAATTTAAAAAAATACATGTCTAGGAAGAATTTGAACACTATTTAAAAACCCATCCGTTCAATGGACTTTAAAGAACATCATACATAATTTATAATAGAAAAAGAAAGATCTAAAAGAACTTCCTAAATGACAAAACAAAATCAAGAAATATTTTTTCACATTCCAATGTCGCAAATATTATTAGTTGTTAGAAATAGCAAGGCAAAAGCTTTAGTTATAATTTATGATCGATATATACATAAATATAATATTATATATAACTCACCTCTAGCACATTCCGCAGACGTTTAATAAACGATTTTACCGTAAGATGTTAAAAGGGGGTATTTATGAATTAAAAAGAAAAAATGTGACCACCTGACAAGCGCTGGAAGATCAACCGATAATGTAACAAAATGGCTTTTACAAGTGTAGATGATGTTAAGTGTAAGAGGTGATTTCCACTGAGTGCATGCAACAAAATAATAAATGATAAGTCGTAAATAAAAGCAAACATTTGCACCAACACATAACAAGAACGTTACAATTACAACATCAATGACTACAATACATAAATATATCGACAAAATCTAACTCATATAATGATTTGATGTGATGATTTTATATGACTGTACATAATGAAAAACTGCACATTTATTTTAACAAGTAACATTAAATACAAATTTTGTTTAGTCCTATTAAACTTTATTAAATTAAATGTTTGTAGTTTTGTGAATTTGTAATGTAACTTATGAGTTTTCACTATCAAACTCTCCCTCTACGATGTATATTTCTTTGTCAAAGAAAGTGAGACGTATGACAAAAGTTTTTGACAGTGGGAACTCATGGTAATGTTTGTCAATTCGTCATTTGTTTTTAAGATCAATCTCCGAGCCTTTGACAGGTTTCACGGCATTTCTATTTGCGTAAGCTTTATTAATTAAAAATGCATTACAATATAGCGATTTTTTTTTTTACAATAACAATATAGTTTTTTTTTTACAATATTTTTAATATTGTAAAAATATTTTAAGATGAAAAAGTCATCATCAGTGATGTTATAAAGCGTATTCTAAAGCGAAGTGTGTCAGTTTTTTTAAACTGCCCCGGACACTTTTGATGCTGAAACAATTAAATTAAAATGCCAATATTTATCTACTTAATTCTTAGATTTAAAACTAAATGATATAACTGTTTGACCGAATATTTGTTTTGGAAATAGACTGATGCAGAAATGTTTAACTTTATTATATTAATATAGTCATAATGAAGGTATATAATTACAGCTATATATAAACTTAGTTTGCATGTTCGATGTATTTCCAATCACATTTAGTGTGTCAATGTCATCACTGTCAAGATTGTACAAATTAGTGATTATATTAAACTTATTTATATACAATGATTCTACAGTATATTTACACAATAATAACCTAAACAAACTTGGTTAATGTCAAAGATTCAAGTTAAATTTTGTCAGTGTTAACTTGTTTGATGACAATTATGACATTCACACATATAATTTGCGATGTGTTAAATATTGATTTAAATAAATGACTGCGTTAGTGTAGAGTATTTACATTATTTAGGATACCGACCTGGCCTGTACCGATCGAGGGAGCTGGGGTAGTTGTGGGCGTAGATGGGACGCGGCGAATACCCGTATACCTCGCGGTGCACGGGCAGGTAGCGGTAGCCGGGCACGGTGATCCTCTCCGCAGCGGCGATAGGGTCGTCATAGATGGATTTGGAGTAAGGATAGGTGGACAGGAGTTCGGGGAAAACGCTGCGACGGGACGGCCTGTATCTCTCTTCCGCTCTGATGTCTTCTGATCCTGTGAATTAAGTTGAGACGTTGATTTACTTATTTACGAAGATTAAGTTTCATTTGACTTAGTTATTGCATTTCGTTGTTTGTTGTCGTTAGCTGTGTTGAAGATTCAAAAGATTAATATGTAATAACTACTTAGTAGAGTAGGTTTAACTATAAAATAATAGAATAGCATTTTTACTTTCACCTTACCTTTTAGAGACCGTACGAAAGATTGCCAAAATCTGGCTTTCTTCGACGGCGTCTCATTTCTGCCGATCATTTCTAAATGACTTTTAAACATTGTGACGGCTTATGTCGTGCTCGTGTTCTGCAAAAGAAATACAATAGATATAAAATTTGTAACAAACTGTAGAGTTGGGCGGTGGTTGGATACGTTCGGATATCGATATGTCGAACGTTGGCCTTGACGTCAAAACTTTATCTTTAAATATTCGCACAGGTGATATAATTGAGCACAATACCCCGCTCGTTTTTTCTAAATAGAGCGATGACGTGTGCAGTTAGTGCCGGGGCCGCAAATAGCCGTCTCGATGGCTGGCCGCGGCGTCGAATGGCGGCGGACTTGGCCGTACGCCAACAACACTGATGCCGAAGAGAAACTCGAAAACGGCCGTTTTTACGAATGCTTGATCACTCGTCTATTTTAGAGTTCGTCGCGACCTTGCCGCACATTTTAACGGATAAGTCAGCGTTCCGATACAATATGTTATTATGTAAGCGGATACGCGGGCAAGCTAATAAGAATAAAATGAGATGGCTTGGAAACAATCTATACTTCAGTTTAGTCAAAATTACATTTTTATGTAAATAGTTCATATTAAATTACTTCTTTTTTTAAACTACAGTTTTGTAGATATTCTTTACAGATTTGAATGAGAGGAGAAAATATTAGTACTTGAATTAGCATAAAAATTAACAAAGGAGACATTTGTTTCCGTAACATGAAACATTGAATGATAAATTTTTGCAACAAAACCAGCATTATGGCATTTTTAACAATAAACAATGAAAAACATTTGACTAATTTTTTAAGATTTATAAAGTATTTAATTGACATTAAATCATTTAATATTTTTAATTTTGTAATATTAAATATATTGTACGGTAATGGCATTTGTATATGTTAAATCAACAAATATTAAACGACAGTAATGCCAAAATAACTAATAGAATTTTGAATAAAACGAAACTTAAATTAAAGTAGTTACCAAAAAATAATTTATGTTTAAATCATGCGACATAACATCCAATGATTAGAGGCATATATTATTTAAACTAAGTAAAGTAATGTTTATCAACATTTCAACCTTCTACATTTAAAATTTCGGTCAAGATTGAAGGCCAAAGTCAAAATATTTTTATCGCTTTCATGATTCATTGTGTTTGTCATGTACAATTGTATTATTTTCTTCATAGTGTCGACAAATAAGATGAAAGTTAGTTATTAAAAGTACGCGATTGAGAAACGGTTACAAAAATATATAAGGCGCGTCGATTTGGCGGGATTGCAAATTTGGCGCGCGATGGGTGCGCCTAAAATAGAAGCGCACGGGGTCGTATCGGATTCACAGCATTCCACTATCTAGCGTGCGACGTCGTCAGGTGGCGTCTCGCGATACAATATTACATCGATATTGAAAACATATCGATAGAATAAAACACAACCCTTTTTCATCCTATTCAAAATTATATATTAAAGTCTGCAATGAATTTTTCTGCACTACACAAAACGTTAGATGCCTTTAGTAATTAAATAATAAAGTATTTAATCTTATGGTCAAATTTGTCTTGCATATAAAGTATGTTTTTATTTGTAGAACAAAACTTTACTGAAAACTTTTCCACGTAATATATTTAGACTCTCAAAATTTCTACGATGTAAAACTGATAGTTCCGTTTTACATAACTTTGTTCCTTGACAGAAAAATTGTTAAGCTTTTTACATACCAAAAAATGAACCCAACGGTGTTTAACGATTAATCACTCGCGAAAATAAGTCAAAGTCGTAGTTAAGAAGATCCTGTAGTAAGCGAGATGGATATATTGCGCAATAGCATTACGGTAACACTCGCGCAACGGGGGTTTAGCACTCGCGGGAAACAATGGCGGCTCACGGGGGGCTTACCGTTTAAAATAATGGTCGTTACGTTTAGCGGTGTGTAGTCGTTGACGAGCCGACGTCGAGTGTCGGACCGGGGCGGGCGCGCACTGCGGACGGCCGCGCGCTCGCGCCGTAGCACGCCCCCGCCCTCGCGTGGACCGACCCCGCCCGCCCAAAACATTTTCTTACAAAATTATATTCAAATACCATATCCAAACAGATATAATTACCGGATATCCTTAGTTATATTCATGTTTGTTATCTGTGGAAACAAGCAGAAATCGTGACGTTTGAGTTCGACACTGGCATTTCTCATACACTGGCTCATACGTCTCATACATTTTTTTTGACTACAAGAAATCTTAATACTTCCTTCTTTAGTAAGTTATAATATCTGTCATTATCAGAACGTTTCGGATTGAACTTATTTAAAACATCTTTGAAAGCAAATATTTTCCTTTTTTTCTTTTTTACTATCAATTGTTATTATTGATTACCGTGATAACCATATTTAAATTTTCCTTAATCGGTGTATTTTATTTATTATGTATACGAAAACTTTATGTGAATTCAACTAACAGATACAGATCGAAATAGTTCTTACGTAGGTGTGAGTGATTAAAATCACCCACACACATTTATCAAGCATTATTTTGGAGCTGAAATATTTCCAGCTCACCTGGATCTCGACTTTATACAAAATTATGACTCAAACGTTCGTTTTAGCCAACCGTGAGATATAGCAAGTAAGGTAATAGATAGAAAATTTATACAGCTGGTTAATTTTTGACGATATTTATTATATATTAAGACATTATTTATATAATTTCTTACAGAAATGCTAAAAGTTAGAAATCGAATAAAATTATAATGAAATTAAATCTTTATCTTTTTTAGGTTAAACTAGAATTTTTGTGAAAAAAACATTTCTTCAAAGAGGTAAATTGAAATTATTGTATCAGAGCACACATCTGAAAGAGTCATAGCTTATTAGAAATGTGTAGGATAAAACTGTTAACATTAAGATATACATAGTATACTGTTATCTTTGTTCACCCTGATAATAAGCTTTCTAATCTCGCATTTGCATCTAAAAGGCAAACAACGGATTTTAGTACAACGAATAACCGAAGATTCACAAAACTTGACATTGTTACAAGTTTATGCAGAAATATTATACAAAAGTGTATAATTTACTTAATGAAATATTTAGCGTAAATAATACTCTATGTGATATTGAAACAACTACAAGTCCTTCATTAACTTATATCCTTCATGAACTTAAATAATATCAATGCATCAAAAAACACTTCTCCGCTACGAAAACTTGCTACGACGTAGCTTACATCTGTCGTAGCACAAGAGGTCTCCGTAACAGCGGGCGCGTTTTTCTAAATTCTCTCTAAATTCATTGAATTTCAATATAAGCGAGTTAAAATTATATAAATATAAATACTTATATGTATAATATTGTGTTGTTAACGCGAATAAATTACTTTTTGGAAAAATAATTATATTTTTATTTTTTATATATACCAACTATATATCTTTAACTGGGTTCTATTGTTATGTTATGTTTTTCGTTGGGTATTTTTACAGTAGTTTTTTTTTTAAATCAAGCTGTATACAACAATATTTTGATACAAATCAATGATCATATGGTTATAGCGTTTCGTAATTAAATAACAAAGATTTCTCGGCGCAAGATATTAAGGAAATGTCCAATATATTTAAAACTAACTATCTTCTAAACACTAGTCTTGAGGGACGCAAAAATTCTTTGTAAAATGTCTGGTTTTATAAATAACTGGCGCGTAATCAACAAGTACAGGAATAGTTTCACGGATCTCGTTTTCACTTAACAACGTCTAATAACATTTTTACGTCGATAAAACATTCATGATTTTGTTAACATCTAAAAGATTACAAAATAAGTATTGTTAGCATTAGAATTAATTGGAATATCGACAATAGACTATCACTTCCGGTCGGCTTCTTTCAGCAATCAAAGTTAAAAAGAAGTTTTAATAATTTTTTCAACCGTTTTCACAAATAGGGAAATAAGTGTAGAAGCAACCAATGTATTGCAAAAAGTATTGTTTTGAGTAAAAAGAAAAAACTTAGAAAAATGTAGTTGAAAAATACAAACATTAAGAAAGAACTTCATTCGAAACCCAATGTATCCAAAAATTCTGTATTACTTAACTTTCCTAGATTTGTATCCATCAAAAGATATACACTATTGTAGTCTTGTATGGGATATATTATTTGATATATTGCATTACAAAACGATATAGAACTATTATATTAAAAACTATATGTTGACTATATGTTGAAAAAAATGAAAACGACTATTAACTTTCTTGCATTACATTACATATAAAAAAATATATAAACACGATCGTAAACATAACCTGTGTCATGTATAGTACAATTTTTATAACGATAACATATAGTTTATTATGTAATAAAACTACATTTCAAAACAGTTTAACATACAACAAAGAAATATCTTTGCTAAAGTAATTTTAAATGAAAAAATTTATAAATAAAAATGAAATCTAGTTATGAAAGTTTAAAGTTATATTTTTTTTAAATATAACGAATTATTCTTTTATTATATTTAATTGTCATTAATAATAATGCATTGATGTATTGAACATAATAAATTATTCTAAATAGAAAAAAAAATAGAGAATACGAAAAAGCTCTACTATGAACTGAAAATTTAAAAATTAAAAAATCTCAATCACTATACTTACGAATAATGTTTCTTTCTTTGACAGTATTTATTTATTAATTAGAAAGTTATATAATTACAAATAACACTTGCACACAGTCGGAACGAATGTCTCTACACTGGGCCGGACTTTCTCAGTTCGTTTCGCTCGACCGAGACGCACTTGACCGATTTTTCTTTTTAGGTTATGCGTAATGCTACCACTTCTCATTTTCTTAGGACGTTATAAATTTATTTGTATGATAATAAATGTATTTTGATGTTTTCATATAAATTACGGTGTGTATGTTGCAATTTAAATTAAATAAAACTGAATAAATTAGCACAAAATTTATCACAGTTGTGCCAAGGTAAACTAAACTTGAGATATTAATTAAAAATTAATAAGTAGTCTTCTTTTTGTCTTACGTGTTAGAATAATCAACATGGTTATAAAGAGTACGTTTAACTAATTACTAAGTAACTAATTAATTAGATAATATAAACTATATTATTTATTTGTCAGTACCGCATTGGAAGGCTACGCATAATTATGATAATTTCTGGCAACGTTAAATATCGGCTCGGTAAAAAGGTTGATATATAAATTTAATTAAAACACTGCCAAGTTTCTATATGGATAGGTCCTTAAAGATTTACGAAACAGTAGTACAATTTTGTTTCCATGTAGCTAACGGCTCATCTGATTTGTACAATAAAATGTCATTTGATTCGAATCTTCCCCTCAGATTATAACAGCCAGTAGCTTAAAGTTATTATTGATATATTTCTTTTTCTTAATAGATCTGATATTACAGAAAAATATTGTCACAGCTTCATTGGAAATGGTAGTTGCATGATTGATCCACTCCGCCCTGACCGCGTCCGAACACAGAGAATTGGCGGTCTGCCAACTTCAGCATTTGACGTACTTGATCGCTAGTGGGCGCTCACGATCTCTGTTACAGGTAGTACTTGGACATAATCTGTTGAACTTGTAAAACTAACTTAACGATATGAAAATTACTGTAAAATTACAAGTTTTATTCCAAATCTAGTAGCGTTAGTCAACCACGTCTCAAGATTCACCTGAAAAGTTCATGCATTGGTAATACCGTTGCGAGATTTTTATGAAAAACAAAAGACTACGTAAAATTAATTAACTTTGTTATCTTACAATTCGTTACATTATGTACTACTTAAATAAATAAATATATTTAGCAGTTGAAGCTAATAGTAAATGTCAAATATACTAGTAGTGATTTAGTTACTGCGCATTCGCCGCCAAACAGCTAAATGCCAATTATTGTCACAATTTGTCCCGCGTCATTAACCAAAAATATTTTAAATTGATGTCATCATTAAATATAAATTGTATAGGATTATTTATTTAACATTTTCTTTTCATGATTACTATATTCATAATGTCTTTGAATATCGACATATTTGTGGAAAACATAGTATAAGAATTTCAGTGAGCTTTAAGCTTTGGAAATTTTCATTGAGGCACACGATGGGGTGTGATGTCATAATTGATATTTATAGATAAGACGCATTTGATTCTGCTTACGATGGAAATTGTAAATATACAAATATTGAGGCAAATTATTATGTTTATTTTAAAAGCAAATATATTAAGATGTTAACAACAATTTATTGGTAAGCTTTAACAGCTAGCCTATTCATTTTTGGACCAAAAGCAAATTATGTACATTTCTTTAGTTCATTCATTAAGGTTTCCAAAGGTTTAAAACAAAGATTTAATTAAGGATAGCCAATAAACTGCTTATTTTGCCTTCACCTTGAAGTTACACGTGTAATGTTATAACGAGATATAATAATGTTTACTAATATCCTCAATATTGTGTCTAATTTATTGATAAAATAGAGTTGTTTGCGGAGGCCATGATGTATTAAATTATCGCACAGTATATGTTTTACTCGTGTTTTCACTATGAATTAAAATCATACAAAATTAACCGTCACCCGTCATTTCGGCCACGTAGAATTATAATAACAAAAACAGAGTTAGCCTGTCCGCTATTCCGCCTTTTAACCGTTTTACTTTGTAATAAATTATGAAAAAGAAGAATAATATTAAGATATAATTTCATTTGTACTGTAACATATTTACAATATATTTTTTCTTTCTGTGCATCGTCTCCTCCGTCGATTAAAGGTAGGCAACGCATATGTAATTGCGTGTCTATGAGGAACGGTCACTTCCCTATTTCATCGATTTCAGTTGGCCGCTCGCTCGTTTGCCACCTTATGATATAAACAAAAAAAACATAAGGGAGAAGTTACCGAGTCGTTCCCGCCCAAAATTGCATTTGTCTTTTATTAATGAGTTTTCTTTTTTAATCATACTCAAAAATCATTGCTAAAAATATTTGCCCGCTGCACGCGATAT